ATCCCATAAATTTATTTGCCAATTTTTACAAGTATATTTCATTCAAAATCTGAAGAAACAAGTAAGAAAGTCTATATGTTTTTCACCTTACCGAAAGCTACCGGTACATGGTAAGCAGGGCGTATCAATTTTGAGTAAATTAGTCCTTAGATTTCGAAATTTTTAAGTTTCAAGCAGTTATGAAATTTACCGTTATATGTAAAGCGGCCTCAATTTTAGTCCGCTTTCAATAATTTTCAACATTTTGCTTTTATGTGGCAAGCACAATAACCATACCGAGTTTGGTACAAATTGGTAGAACGGTTACCGAGATACATATATGTGATCATAAGTGGGTGGTGCCACGCCCATTTTCCAAAATTTTATCACAAACGTATTTCTTGGTTAAGAATTGTTGCAAGCATCAATTTTGAATAAATTAGCTTTAATATTTACTGATTTATCGAAGATTTTGCATTTCTCTAAATTACCGTTATATGGGATGTGGGCGTGGTTATTGAGCGATTTTAAAAATTTTCGGCCGTTTGGTATGCTGTATGAAGGTCAACAACTATGCCAAGTTTGGAAGAAAGTGGTGCAGCGGTTACCAAGATATACACATGTAACCATAAGTGGGCGTGGCTACGCCCATTTTCCGAAAATTTATAATATTCTTATTTTTCGTCTAAAACTTATTATAAATATCAATTTTGAGTGAATAATCCCCAGTATTTACTAAAATATCGCAGTTTTCGTATTTCTGAAAATTACCGTTATATGGGAAGTAGGCGTGGTTACAGTCCGATTTCGCCCATTTTCAATACCAACCTACCTTGGATAAATGGAAACCTACATACCAAATTTCGTTGAGATATCTCAATTTTTGCTCGAGTTATCGTGTACACGGACGGACGGACAGACGGACGGACAGACAGACATGGCTTAATCGATTTCTCTTTTCATTCTGATCATTTATGTATACATTTGTCTATATCTATCTCGATTCGTTTTGGCTGTTACAAACAACCGTTATGTGAACAAAATTAATATACCCTTGTGCACAAGTGCGCTCGGGTATAAAAACAACCAAATTTGTTATCCACTTATCTATTACAAAAATCAAAACTTATTACAAAAAACTAAAATTCAAAAATTTTATTGAGGTTGAGGCCGGGGTTTTTATGAAAATTTTGTGCAAAAATAACATCTATACTAATTATATAAAGAGAAGTCCCTTTTTTGTAACGGCTGGTCCGATTTACATGAAAATTTGTATACAAATAGCCTTCAGCAACCACCTTGTTTTAGCCCAAAAAAATTTTACTTTTTTCTGCTAGGTGGACTAGGCACCGATCTATTCGAAAAATCTTATTATTGGCCGATTTGCTTAAAATTTGGTACGTAGGTAGCTTTTTACCTAGATTAGCATATATGATTCTTTTTTTCCGGGAAGTGGACCGGAACCGATCCAAACGAAGAAATCGTATTTATGGTCCGATTCGCTTAAAATTTGGTACCTAGGTAGCTTTTTTCCTAGATTAGCATATATGATTCTTTTTTTCCGGGAAGTGGACTAGGAACCGATCCAATCGAAGAAATCGTATTTATGGTCCGATTTGATTAAAAGTAACATAGGTAGCTTTTTGCTTTGATTAGCATATATGATTATTTTTTTTGTGAAATGGACCAGAGACCGATCTATTCGAAAAAGTTTTATTTATCGTTCGGTTTGCTTGAACATTATTACGTAGGTAGCCTTTTCCTAGATTAACATATAGGATCCATTTTTTATTCTAATATGTTCCGTTTTGTTTGAAATTTGGCGCGTAGGCAGCTTACTGCCTGGATTAACATATAGGATACTTTTTTCTTATAGGTGGACCAGGAACCGATCTATTATATAGAATTGAGAATTGAATGATTGTTTTACAGTTCGAAATATTTTAAGGCGCCGCAAAGCAAGCGGGTATTGGCTATGTATCGATACTTATTATCTATACCAATTATATTACGAGAAGTGCCACCTTTTTGTAAGAAGTGATCTCGCGAACGGCTGTACCAATTTTTTTTAAATAGAATTTTTGGTTATAATCACCGCATATTTCTGGAAGCATTTGTGGTAGAGTCTTGGAACTTGGTATGAAGGTTTTGAAATCAATCCCATACCCTTGGAGAAAAGTGGGGGCTATTGGTAAAGAGGGCGTGGCGCCTTCCAAACATACTGAAACTTGTACCTATCTATAAATACATATATAATTCTTCGGCACGTGTGTTTTCGAGTGAAATGGTTTTAATGAAATTTTTGTCCTAAAGTCCCTGTATAGTTTAGGTTCACAACTTAAAATGCCAAGTGGCGCTGGAGTCGAGTTATTAAAAATCGTATTTATGATTTGATCTGGCTAATATTCAAAATATGTATTCGTAACGTGAAGGGAAATATTTCTGCGCAAAAAATGGCTCGCCAGGTGGCTGTGGAGTCGAGTTAGTACTAAAAATCGTATTTATGGTCCGATTTGATTCATAAACAAGATGTATATTGGTAACGGTAGGGGCAATACTATTGAAAAAAGAGTCGCAAGGTGGCGCCGGAGTCGAGTTATTGCTGAAAATCGTCAAGTGAAGTCATTCGGAGACACCAGGGATCAAGATCAAATTACCACCGTCAAAACGACCACCATAACCATTGCGGTCCTTGCTTTACAGCGACTAAACAAAATAAAGACAATTCTTGATGAGTGCCTACAAATTCAATTGTAAGACATTTATGGTGTTTCGTCTGAAATAGGTCTACGTATATTAGATTTCTGTGGACTAATGATGTTCTCTCATTTTGAAATTGCCACCACCTTTTCTATACAGATTCAAGGACGATTCAACATCGACCCGGATCATTGTTTCCGCAGGAACTTCTTCACGGACATAACGCTTTCGTTAGGTTATTTAACACGGCAATGGAAAATATGCTTTCTGACGACCAAAAAACCAAATGTGAACGTGATTTGCTTTGTACCATATATTTGAATTAAGAAAGAAATTTTGGGCGGGACGAAGTTCGCCGGGTTTGCTGGTTAATTTACATTTTGGTAGAAGTTATAGCTGCTATTTCGGAAATCAAAAATTATTGAAATACTTGTGCGTTCAATCAGATTCATATGGGTCATTCCATACAATATTTACACCTCAATATTTTTTTTTGGGTGAAATATATTTTTTTACAATCTTTATCGAAAAAAAGAAGACACATATTTTTTATTTCGTCATGATATTCGAAATTCTCGAAAAAAAAATTCCCGAAATTTTTAACTCTCGGAGAAGTATATTTTTTTAATTGTTTGCAGTTAATAAACTATTTGTCGGAGAAAATCAATTAAGGTATCAAACTGTGCTTAATTACCTCGGCTTTCCATGACAGTGTGAGATAGCATTTTTGGCATTTTTTTATTTTTTATTTTTATTTTTAATATTTTTATTGAGCTTTGTACCACGATTGTTTATTAGGAAAAATTGAAAAAGCAACAAAGTCTAAGCGGTAGAAGTTATAGCAGCTATTTCGGAGATCACCACATCTCTTTATCAGACTTCTTTTTTTCTAGACTTCAGCAAGGATCGAACCTGCGTAATCGATGTTCAAAGTCAGAAGCGTTAACCACGGAGCTATGTACATCCCGTAAACTCTTGTAGCTAATTCATTTTCCTTATTCAACCAACTACTATCAAGTGCAGCTGATTTGCCGCTATTTAAACTCGACAGCGTGGTTGTTGTTGTCAATTCTATACATCCATTTGCTTATTTGCTTTTTTGTATAGTTTCAGGCAGGCTCTTCCTAAACTATGTATGTATTTGTCAATGTTATTGTGGCTTATTAACATTTTATTTTTATTATTTTTATTGAGCTTTGTACCACGATTGTTTACTGTTCCACCGCTTAGACTTTGTTGCTTTTTCAATTTTTCCTAATAAACAATAACAATCGTGGTACAAAGTTCATTATGTTTGATTTTTATTTTTTTCAACCTGAATAGTTGTCCAACTTCATGGAGTAAGCTTTAAAAATTTGAAAATGGAAACACAAAGCTGTAGATGTTTTGAGTTTTTTTCATACCTGTACTTTAGTATAAACTTTGAAAAAAATAAAAATCCAACATGGTGAAGTTAATAAAAAAATAAAAAATGCGATTTTTAATGAAAACAATTTTTTTATTTTAATCTATTTCACATTCTCATGGAAAGCCGGGGTAATTAACTTACCTTAACTGATTTTCTCCGACAAATAGTTTATTAACTGCAAACAATTAAAAAAAGACACTCCTCCATGAGTTCAAAATTTCGGGAACTTTTTTCGAGAATTTCGAATATCATGAGTCATGACAAAATAAAAAAATAGGTGTCTTCTTTTTTTTGATAAAAATTAAAAAAAAATATATTTCACCCAAAAAAAAAATATTGAGGTGTAAATATTGTATGGAATGACCCATATTTACTTTTATATGTGCATATATACATGTTAAAAACAGTATTTTGGAAAATTTATTCATTTTTGGCATTCAGTATGCAATTATACTTTTTGTAAAGAAAAAATTTGCTAGTTTTCAATTTAAAAAAAACAACCAATCCAGAGAAACAACTACCAAAAACCAAATTAGAAAAAAATAAAAGAAAAACAACCAAGTTTGGTTGGAAACAACCAACAGTGGCAACAGTGCATACAACATCACTAGAAAAAGTACCTTCTAAAATCAGAGATTTTATTGTATGAACGCCACATTCGTTGAAAAGTACAGGTAAATCAGTAAAAGCAGTTAAAGTGTATCACATAAAACTGCCATTAAAAGTTATAAAGAGTTAATAACATAATTTGGCTCAAGCTCTGCTTTCCTTGCTTAACAATCAACTTGATTAACCGAAAAAATTATACAAGAACACTAATGTTACAAGTACATAGTCCGTTAAAAGAGTAATGTTGGATAATAAATTAGAAAAATGTATTCAGATAGATAATAGTATATGTATTAATGTTTACCTGATATCTCTGCCGCATTTGGTTTATACACATCTGTATTTATTGTCCGACTGCTATTGGGCGATGAATGATTGGCTAATTGTGGCAGGGTGGTAGCATTGGTAGACACAGCCGTTGCTTGGCGCATGGAGCGACGCACTTCGTAGTCACGCATATGGCTGGGGTAAGATGATGATTCCAAAAATGTTTGACTTATACCCATTGCACGAAATGGATGTGGGCCAGGTGGACCTGAAATAAATGCCAATGCTTCAAGAATTAGGCTTAAAAATCAAATTTTCTCGCACTAAGCAAATAGTTTAAGTGTATGTATGTTTGTATGTGAGTGTATGTATATAAGTATGTACATATATCGTTTGAATGCAGAAAATTAGCTGTTAACGAACACCCTATAAAGAAGTAAGAGCGTGAATGATGTAACAGGGCCATCGGGAGATGGGCCGGGTCCCAGGTATAAAAATACCGATGTATAAAAATATTGTTTTAGTAATCTTTGTGAATAATCTTTAAATGTCTAATTTCGATAACAATGTCACATCGTTAGCCTAACACAGACGGATGCTTTTTCCTTTTGCACAGTTTAATTCAATATACATATGTATGTATGTGTTTCCAAAAAAAAATAATGTTCATTCAAGTTCCTTAAAGGCATCAGATCGTCTCATCATGTTTGCAATGAAGCAGTATAACAGACCACTTATGTATTTTATGTGGGCCTCCGTTCATTAATTGCAGTCAGAGTTTTGAGCCAAACAGAGCCAAAAAAATTAATTCAATTAATGCTCCCCCTTGTTTGTTGGCGCTGCAACTGCCTAAGCGATTTTAGCCGAGTTCAATAAAGCACGCCAGCCGTTTCCTTCCTGTCTCAACGGACACCAATCGGCATATATTAATGCTGGCTCCTAAATCAACGAAGTCGTCTACTTTTTGTGGTCTGTGCTGAATTTACCATGTCGAAAGTCACACTGATGGGGCCGAATCCATTCGTTTACGTTGCGCAATACGCTCATAATACCTTATACCCGACGCTTAGAATGCTGATGCCGCAGCAATTGGCCCGTATGGCGGGGTTGCAGTCGCATTTCTTGTGGATTGGGCAGAGCACACTTAAATTCCAGTCGTTGGGCATGCTTACTGGAAGGACGTCAACTCGTCCTAATCGGTCATCGATTCCGCCGACTGAGTGTTTGCGTTCATTTTCCCCACAAATTTCAGTGCGGCTAAGATTCAAAAGTGTTCACTTCACAATTTGAGCAACCTCTGGAGCTTGTTCCTACAGAAATTCGCCCTGGTCTTGAAACCTTCCGAAAGTCGCCTAAAGGGCTAACTATAATATGAATAAGCTGCCGTAACTGACTTTCAGAAAATGGACGAAAAGTCTGTCAAATGCATAAGCAACGTAGTGTAGACTTTTAGGTGGCTATGTTTTACTTACATGAGTTCAGTGTTGCCACATTTAATTAGATATAACAATAGTCACTATCAAGCAGTTTGTTGTAGATCACACAATTATAGTAACCTAGAAACGCCGAAGAACTGTTCGCCTTCCGAAACTTTCAGAATAACCTGGTGTTTCTGTAAAAGGAAACGCTTACGGCCCACTTCCTAATGTGGAACCAGAACTTCTTTTGACCTGTGTTACATGTAGGACTGAATCGGAAAAGTTACTAAGTGGAAAAAAAAGTTACCAAATTACCAAGTATGATAAATAAAGAAAAAAATTACCAATTTCGGTAAAAAGCTAATGCGGCAACACTGCATGTGTTACATATGTACATACATTCGTACGAGGACAAACAGCTTATTCCGTACGGAAGGTGCGATCAGTATCGCTCTTTCGTTAAGCAAATGACGTTTGGCGAAACTTGACGAAACTTGATGTTAAGCTCATTATAGTTTCAGAATAGGATTTATGTGTATTCGCACGTTTGCATACGCTTGCTTATTCATATTATAGTTAGCCCTTAACTTTCTGATAAAGGTTTTCCTATCGATCAGCATCGCGAGCTCTTCGCCCTCACGTATTTCGACCTATATGTTTTTATTATGCAAATACGTCTCGCTTCCCTTTTCAACGCCTTGAATGCATCTTTCCCACATAGCTCGCGTTGCGCCCGATCGAATCTTTTATTTGCAAGTTTTTGGGGGGAATGTCAATTCCTACATACTTCTTCGGTTGCGGTACGTACCGAGCGGGCAATGAGGTTCCACTACTACTACAAGAGATCCTTACGCTCCCTTACATGACAGCTGTAGTAGACGACGCAAGATCCCACGCTTTTTTGCCTTGCCACGTCCATCGTATTTCTTCGATGGCTGTGACTTCAGCCTTTTCCTTCAGCCGTGCATCTTAGTTCTTTATGTAGTCCTTTATAAGCGGGTCTCATCCAAGGCTTTATTTTACCTTCTCTAAATTAGCTTACCGCCGAACGGGTTTTCGGTTGCTACTCAGAGGATACTTGGTGTGCTACTTGAACCGGATACAAAATAATCATTTTTGTCCACTGCATAAGGTTTAACTCATAACTGTTTGCCCATCCAATTTTTTTCCAAATCCTAATCCTGCTATCAAGTGATTTAGCTGAAAATTAAAATCTCCTTTCTAAAGATTAAAAAGAAAACTCGATTATCCGAAATTTTTCATAGAAAAACTTTTATTCCAACAGTAAGAATTTTGGCCGGCAACCCTTTTTCTACTGATCGCGAATAATACGCAAAAAACACTTATGTATATGTAATAGCTTTAAAATTGGCAAAATTCGCGATTTGTCACCTATCTATCCCTTTAAAGTCGGGATTTTTATTTTTAAATCCTTCAAAATCGTCGTTTTAAATATTTTATTTATTTTGTCGATTAAAGTTTTTGTCATCATTTTTTATCGTTATTTTATGATTTAAATTTTTTGATCGTATGATAACCGTTATTTCATTTTTTATACCTTAGAAGAATTAAATAGGTTATAAAAACGCAGTCTGTATTATAACGGTCTAATTTTTAGACCTGATCGAAAAAATAAAAATCACAAAACAACGATTAATTATGATTTTTATTATGAAAGTCATAACGGTTATGGTGCCAGTTTTAAAGTATTCAACTCGTTTTTTTTTCGTGCATACATATGTATGTACATCAGAAGATATTGCAATAGGAATTTCAAAGAATGATAAAAATGATTGCAGATGGATATTTGACCTAAAACTTTTTCAGCATGCAGAAAATCACAGATAATATTTAGAAAATATTTTTTAAGCATCCTTCTTGTCATGATATGACAAGCACGTAGGTACTTCGCTGCATGTGGCCGATACTGCAGTAGGATAATTATTATAAATTTGTTCATGTCACTATTTGGTGTTAGGTCCGAAATATCGTTTTCCGGGGGCTCATAATACATATTTCAGGATTTTTAAATTGATTTAAATGTCTACATACCAAGGCAAAGAGATTAGGTAAACGGTTTTGAGGGTTTTTTCAAATTTTGTGTATGCAGTTTTGATTGCCCGACTACTAGGCAGTAACACGAAGTCAGTAACCCTCCATGAAAATGACGGTAGTGAAGAGCTAAATATGCTGAATTAAAATAAGCAAACAGTCATAACTTAATGGTGACGTAATAAAAAATAGATTGACCTTAAACCGCAAGTAAGTTTTTTTCTTTTGGAAATTCAGCTTTTGTATGCAATTCTCTTAAGTTTGTTAAAACAGTACGGGAGTCTCAAATGATATTTTTCTGACACACTGACCCATCGTCCAATGCCATAATAATTCACGTTTCTACATACATACATATGTACTTACATATATGAAGTTAATTCTCTTTATGTATAAAATTCGAGTAAATATTTATATATGTATGTACTTATGTATATATGAACACAAGCAGCTTGACGATTCCATGTTCTTACGTACATACATATTTTTTTACATACTTCTGTACTACATAGTTACATATTTACATACATACATACATTTGTATTATGGTAAAAAATGTAGTTCATACATCTGGTCACGGTTTGTATTTTAAGCCCATTATCCAGTCAATCTAATATTGAAATATTTTGACGTACACCGCTCACCTTACTTGTAATTCCGGCATTCACTTCTTACATACATTAGTTTGTAGGCTCATTTAAGGGATTAAAAGAAACAGCAGTACATAAGTGTTGCATTGAAAATGGCAGAGTGAAAATGATCCTTTTTGTGTTGTAATTTTTTGCTTTGTTGTTTTGTAATTTCTGCTTGCGTTAATGGTAATTATGCCCTTGTTTTGTGCGGTTTTCCGCATTTTTCCTTTTCCTGCATTTGCCATTTTTCTCAAAGTGCCGCAGAGGCTACTATCGCCAACTTCGCCACCGTTGAGTGTGGCAATTTGTAGGTGCAAAGAAAAAACTGTATGTGACCACATGGTTTGCATGCCAAATGTTTGAAAACAATCAATAATAAGGTGCCAGGGCCTGACGCAGCTGCATACGCATAATCGTTGCTATCTTGGCTTAAGCATTTTTTGTAAGCACAAACAAGTACACGTATAGCATAACTAATAATGATTGTTTTTATAAATGTACCTGTCCTGATGCGTTTAGGTGGCAAAAATGCGATTTTTTGCGCAAATTTTTTCCTTTGATATTTACCCTTAGAGGTGCAAGCAAAAACTATATTTTATAATTACTTAATAGAGCTACTTATGTGCATACGTATAAATTTCTACACATGGGTAGATACATCAATTTATGTACATAAATATACCTGCATAATATTGAAATGGCATGTAATCAATGTACTCTTACAGTTTCGAGTGTTTTCTTTCATCCCAGAAAATTATATTGACCTCAAAAGGAAAGAAGTCATTTTTTTACGTGTAATTCCTATGGGAAAACTAAAGGATCGACGCGGAGGAGATTCATTTAGGATCATTACTATACTAAATGCTAAAATTTAAGTCATATGCCGGTCAAATTGCAGGATTTTTTTTTTTTTTTTTTTGACGCGGTCTAATACACATCGTCGGTCCCTACGAAGAGTAGCACATTTCACTATTCGCGTGGAAGACTAGCACATTTCATTATTCGCGTCGAAAAGTAGCATATTTCAGATTTTTGCGTGGAAGACTAGCACATTTCGTTATTTGCGTGAAAGACTAGCACATTTCAGATTCTCGCGTGAAAGACTAGCACATTTCAGATTCTCGCGTTTCCACGATCACGTTTCAGATTTTTTCGTGGAAAAGTAG